TCCTTTCGCTTGCGCAGTAGGCAGTGAAACCACTGAGCTAAATCCCCAGCTCTACTTTTTTATTTTGACACAGGGTATTGCTAGTTTCCCATGCTGGGCTGGAACATGCAATTCTCCTGCCTCAGCCTCCCAGAGGGCTAGGATTACCGATACTCATTACCATGCCTGGCTTCCCCTAGGGGATTTTAACACAGCTGGTCAACTCCAGGAAAACCAGCAGAATAGACCCAAGAGCACCTTGGAAATCATGCAGAACATGGTCCCAGCTCCCACTTAGGGCTGCACTAAAGATTCCCTTTAACCTCTCTGGGCCTCAGTTTCCTACTGTGTGAAATGGGGAGAGTAATACCTACCTCGAAGGACTGACTCGCTATATAGGGAAAGTCACAGCACACAGTAAGTGAGCCTGGAGTCTCGAGAGAATTAGCTTACCATCACCAGAGCAAAGGCAGTGAAACACACTGTCACAAGGGGACCCCTCCCCCCGTTCTCCAGGACACAGAAACAGCCCAATGAGCAAGCTCATTTCTCTAGTGGCCGCAAACCTCCTTCCTCCCCTAGAAAGTGGCCCAGTTTCTCTTGGACCAAATCTTATTTTTGCTGTCCCAGTATTTCAGGCAATCCAGACTTTCTGGGAAAGCTTTAATTGCAAACAAACAATTAGCTCATCTTCTGTAACACAGGCATTTATATTTGCGCTGAATTGATATTTCCTTTCACCTAAAGGTCATTGCTTTTTGGGCTTGGTATGTAGGTTAGCGGCAGAGAGATTTGCCTGGCACAAGCAAGGCCCTAAGTTCAATGCCCGCACCCCCCACATACAAAGATCATTGTTTTAAATAAAGATAATATATTGCATGTGCAGGGAAATAGAGGGGAATTTCAATACTTTATAAGCCTCTTATTGTGTAAATTTTGTTATGTAAAACATGACAATGACCTTGCTTACACCAGATGCCCTAGTTTTGATTCAGAAAATATATCCTTGTCCCCTGTACACATATGTAAAGGTTGAAAATGAACATTCCACAGGCTCTACCATCTTCCTGATGTCTGCCCACTCCTCCCTCAGCAGTACACCTAGAATCGTGATTTTGGGGATCAAGCATAGACTCCGGGCATAGAGACTGGAGCTTGAGTTCAAATTTTGCTTTGAAAATTTTGGATAGTGGCACATTCCTGTAATCACAGCACTTGGGAGGTTGAGGCAGGAGGATCGCCACAAGTTCGAGGCCAGCCTGGGATGCAGGTGAGTTCAAGACCAGCCTGGACTATACAACAAGACCCTGTCTCAAAACAAACTTAAAAAATTCTGCTTTTGGTCTTCTTAGCTATGTGGCCTCAGGATCTTTGCATTTGCATTCCTCTGCCTGGACACACTTCTGCAACTGGTCCCTTCTTAGTTTCAATGTCAGCTCCTCAAAAGGAATTTCCCAGGCCTTTTCCCACATGGTTTCCATTCTTCCTCACACCAGCCCATTTGGGTTTCATTTGCTTTTGTGTTTTCTATCCTTTGAAGGGAGGGATTTGGTCTTATGTGGGCCCTTGTGATAGAGGCCACATTACTTGGGGCGTCAGATTTTTCATCCATAAAACAGAAAATAATATTCAATTGTGACCGAGCGTGGTGGCACTTGCCTGCAGTGCCAGGACTCTGGGAAGCTGAGGCAGAAAGATCACAAGTTTGAACCCAGCCTGGGCAACTTAGTGACTTAGTAAGACCCTGCTTCAAAATAAAAAATATGAAAAAGAGCTGGGAATGTAGCTCAATACAAAAGCCCTAGGTTCAATCCCTAGTACCAATGGGGGATAAAATTAACTGTGAGGTCTGCGTGAGGGTTAAAGGAACAATGACAACCATGGTCCTCTATGTCTTTGCCACCAGGGCTCTGACTGGATAGGACATGTGACCCAGGATTTCTCTGGGATCTTGGGCGCTGGAGTTGGGGCCCCTGGACCTCCTACAGTTGCTCTCAAGAAAGGTTAGCATGTGGCATGCCACCTCACCTCTCTGCCTTCCACGTTTTCAAGTGTCCCAACCTCCACCACTTCCTCCCTCCTCCCCACCCATCCTCACCAACATCTCTCCTGTCCCAGGGGTTTTTGGGGGAAGAGCTCAGGTGCTGAGCCCTTGGAGCTGAGCCTGGGGCTGCCAATCACAGCTGCTAACTGGACAGCTAACCCCTCCCAGAGGCTCCCCAAGCTCAGAGCAAACCATTTGCAAATGCTGGAAAATGATGGAAACAGCAGCCAGAGGCCAGATCCCCTCATTTCCTGTGTCTGTGTTGGACAATTCCATTCACCAGCTTCAGGACCCCTCTTCCCCTTTCCGCACCTCCTCCCCTGCCTCAGTCTGGGCCAAGCTCTCCCTGCAGAGACCCATCTCCTGGTCCTCTTTCTGTAGCCTGGCTCCTGGGGACTCCTGGGCACCCCCAACTGGCTCATTCATTCATTTGCTCAATGCCTATTTACTGAACACTGTAGGGGAGGAAAAGCTTCTTTGCCTGCCTAGAATTTCTGGCTGGGTCTGAATAAAAGTGGACAAAGACAGACTAATGGGGAGAAAGCATAACAAATTTATTTAGCCAAAGTTTAATGTAATGGGAGTGTTCAGAATGGAGACCCAGGGTGAATTGTCCATCTTTATCGGAGGTTTGATGAAGTGCAGGCAACATAGAGGAATCTGATTGTGCAAGGGTGTGACACAGGGGAGACAGACAGAGTGGGGCGACCACAAGGCCTGTCAGTTCCAGTTCTTCCGGCCTCTGGGTCTCAGGGCAGGACCCTCTGGGATGAAGGTTTTATGGCCTCCTCTCTGACGACAGCAGGTGAGAAAATACAGCTCTTACGCAGTAAGACAAGAAATTAGAGTCACATTTCCAAGTGTTACGACTTTGGGAAAAATTAGTTCCTAGATCCCACCTGGAAAAGAGGAATGCTAGTTTCCATGGCTGGGGAGGGAGGATGAAGAAGTCTTCTTTTTCATTTTGTTTATTTAAGTGGCACTGAGGATTGAACTCAGGGCCTTCACACTAAGCTACATTCCTAGCCCTTTTTATTTTTATTTTTTGAGACAAGGTTTTGCTAAATTCCCCAGTCTGGGCTCAAACTTGCCATCCTCCTGCCTCAGCCTCTCAGTGCTGGGATAACAATGTGCCACCATGCCTTAGCTGAGAGGTCTTCTGATGCCATTTCCAGTTTTCTTCTGTTCCAAATGCTGAGGCTCTATACTGTGGGGTACCATGCTCTGAGCCCCAAAACCACCAACTGGGTACCAGTTACTGCTTTAGGCCTTAGGGGATTCACCATAAGCCAAATAAATGAAACTCCTCATGGAAAGAAGCCCCTCAAGGAACATACATTCTGGTGAAGGAAACAGAAAATAGGATGCAAAGAAATATATAGTGGAGAGCTGGGGGTGTAGCTCAGTCGTAGAGGGTACACCTAGTGGGTATGAGGCCCTGAATTTGATCTCATCTCTGCCATATATATACGAGTTAAATGCCAAGGTGAGACGTTGGGGGAACCACCAGGACCTCCAGACTCACTTTCTCCGACCATGCTTCAGATGAGAACCCCTAGATGGAGAAAGGCCATGCCACATGCACAGGCCACACAGTTTAGAAACCAGTGATGTAAGCATCTGCACCCAGGTCAAATCTACACTTTTTTTTTTGGTGCCAGGGATCAAACTCGGGTCCTTGTGCTTGCGCAGCAGGCGGCGAAACCACTGAGCTAAATCCCCGGCTACACTGTCTTTAAAAGGTGGCTTGGGCAGGGGATTTAGCTCAGTGGTTTCGCCGCCTGCTGCG